CTGCGGGTCGGAAGTGAGGGGCACCGGCAGAGCTGGGGAGGGTGGGGGGAGCCCAGGGCTGGGCTAGCAGGGGGCTGCGGGGCAGGAGTGAGGGGCACTGGCAGAGCTGGGGGGTAGCCCAGGGCTGGGCTAGCAGGGGCTGCGGGTCGGGAGTGAGGGGCACCGGCAGAGCTGGGGGAGCCCAGGGCTGGGCTAGCAGGGGCTATGGGTCGGGAGTGAGGAGCACCGGCAGAGCTGGGGGTGGGTAGAGCCCAGGGCAGGGCTAGCAGGGGGCTGCAGGGGGGATTTGATAGCTGCTTTCAACTACCTGAAGGGGGGTTCCAAAGAGGATGGATCTAGACTGTTCGCAGTGGTGGCAGATGACAGAACAAGGAGTAATGGTCTCAAGTTGCAGTGGGGGAGGTTTAGGTTGGATATTAGGACAAACTTTTTCACTAGGAGGGTGGTGAAGCACTGGAATGGGTTACCTAGGGAGGTGGTGGAATCTCCTTCCTTAGAGGTTTTTAAGGCCCGGCTTGACAAAGCCCTGGCTGGGATGATTTAGTTGGGGATTGGTCCTGCTTTGAGCAGGGGGTTGGACTAGATACCTCCTGAGGTCCCTTCCAACCCTGACATTCTATGATAGATTAAGGGGGTCTGGGGAGGAGTTGCCCATTGATGGCCTATAGCCAGCACCCCACGTCCCTGCACCCCACATCCCTGGGTGAGTTGGGGTGGGGGCAAGGGGCTGCTGGTCATTACTGCCCCCTTGCTGGAGCTGCGTCTGGGAAGGGCCTTGGGACAGCCGGCTCCCCTTTGTGACTGTAGCCCCAGCTGGGGGTCTGGACTCCTGGCTTCATTGCCCAGCTCTGCCACAGGCCCCCTGGGGGACCTCAGGGAAGTTGTGTGCTCACTCTGTGCCCCATCTATGGCAGGGCTGCCAGGCTGAGACCATCCAGGGCCCACAGAGGGGTGACACCAGAGATGGGGTCCCCCGAGGCTGGTAGTGAGGGCACCTGACAGCTGGGTGGGTCACAGCAGCAGGCACAGTGCGGCACGTCCAGATCTGCGCCCCATCTGTCTGTCTAGCCTGCCCAGCTCCCTGCCCGTCACACGTAGCAGCAGCTACCCAGGGGCAATGCAAGGCGCTGGATCCCGAGGCCGGCGCTGCTCTGAGCCGTCCCTGTGGCACTGATGGGTCTCTACCTCCAGGGACCCCAGCCAGCCCGTGGCCCAGCCCAACCGGGGCCTGGTGCAGCCCGACGAGCCTTGGCATCTCCTCTGCCCTTCCCCTCCTTACGCCCCCTGCCTCCCTGGCTCCGGGTCTGCGCTCGGTGCGGTCACCTCCGCCTGGCCTGCAGCTAGCCCCTGGGGGTGGGCAGAGCCGGGGCCGCAGGCTGCCGCCATGCCCAGCAGTGCTCTGCCCTGCTGCCCAGGGAGCCCAGAGGCAGAGGTGAGGGGCCCGCCAGTACAGGGTGGGGACACTGAGGCTGGAATGCCCAGGACAGTCAGTTCCTCCGGGGCCAATGGCGGGATGTGCTGCCCTGCATGCCCACCCTGTGCAGGGGTCTGGCTTCTCTCCCGCAGGCAGGGCCGGGGGCAGGGCAGGGGCCTTACTCCAGCTCCTCTTTCCCGGGCCCCGCACCAGGGACGGGACGGAATCGATTCTCGGCGCCCTGGGAACTGGCAGCTGAGCCCCTGGGTTGGCCGAGGGGAGTTTTAGCTCGGCCCGGGGCAGCTGCTGGATTTCTCCACTGGCTTCTTTGCCAGGGTGGTCCGGAGCGTCCGGCCAGGGTGGGCCCCGCTCAGGGACTTTGGTCCTGCTCACACCCAGGGGCTTGTCAGCCGAGAAGCAGCCGGCAAAGACCATGGGTGAGACGGGGGGGGGAGGGGGTGTGTCTCAGCCCAGGTTGCAGCTTCGGGGCTGGGCCTGCCCCGAGTGCCCAGGCTCAGCAGGGTGGGGCTGGGGCAGGACCTGGCTGGGGCACTGTGACAAAGTGAGGGGGGGTTCTTGTTTTCTGTGGAGTTTCAATGGTTTGCATGCAGAGGGGGTGGGACTCAGTTTCCCTGGGTGTTACTGGTTTAACGAGGTGAGGGGAGAGGGAGTTTGTTTTGCAGAGGACCGGAGAGAGGACTTGGGGCCCCAGCCGATGGCCGGGAGGATGGATACCCCAGCGACCGGTGACCTGGCGACCTGGTGACCCGGAGGCCCAGCTGAGGAGATGCAGCCAGTTCTGGCCAGTGGGAGGACAATGGGCTGCAGAGTGAGGACCCAGTGACCTAACCAGCTGGTTCCAGCCAGAGGACAGAAGCAGGAGAGGAGGCCCCGGTTTACAACCCTGTTTGCCTGGAGAGAAGACAATGGACAGAGGCGGGGCCTGGGGCCGGTGATCTCAGATGCCCAGCTGGGAGCAGGGGGGTTCTGGGCTGGAGAGGGGGAGCAGGAAGAGCCCACCTGGATGCAGAGAGACTGGGATGTGCTGGGCTGAGGGAGGCCAGGCCTGAGGCCCTGAGAGTTTCCTGTGCTGGGTTCAACTCTCAATAAACCCTCCTGTTTCATGCTGGCTGAGAGTCACTCCGGTCTAGAGAACAAGATTGCATCAACCCCTTCGGGGGTGGAGGCCCCGGGGGTCCAGAGTGAGTGGACTCCCTGAGGGGGCCCACGGCAGAGACAGACGTGCTAAGGCTCAGAGAGGTGCGGCTCCAGGAGGTGGAGGGGCCTGACCCCGAGAGAGAGTGGACCCCCGAGAAGGGCTGTTGCACTAAAAGGGGCTCCCCCCACGGACTGCACGGGGACAAGAGTGGGCACGATCTGTGAGTCCGTGACAAGCACACCAGGATGACGTGGTGATGGCGATTCAGTGGGGGGTGATGCCCTGCAGGACCCATTCAGAGCTAGGGGGCGCTGTGCTAGAGAGGAGCCTTCCCTGACCTAGTGCCCCAGTGTGGGGGTTGGCTAGGGGGGGCTACAGGGGATCAGCTGTGGGAGCACCATGCCCTGCTGTGGCCATGGCACCGGGGGGCACCACAGCAGCTGAGTCCAGGCCATGCAGCGAGGAGGGGCTGGCTGCAGACCCATGTTTGTTTGGGGTGTGGGTTGCTAAGTGACCGTGGAGCTGAGCCCTGGCTGGGTGCCCGCAGGGAAGCCCTGCCTGAGCCCTCTGGCATGCACTGACTCAT